ACAGTAAGAAAAGAGTGGAAAGTGGAAGGAAAAATGTTAATCTTACAACAGGGAGGACAGATTTGAGCACAGACAGTTTTTCACGAAGGATGCCATGATGCCTCACATTAATGTAAATCAACAATTCCATCTCTGCATTGGCGCTGATGCAGAATTAAAAATATGTGCTTGTATGCTGTCAGGTCACGTGGCCAGAAAAGATTAGACTTGTCCTAACCTGGCAGCATGACGATAGCAGAGCAGCGCTCTGGAGAAGCAACAATCTTGCTGACTGCATAAAAGATGAGGCTGGGCAGCCGCGAGATCTCATCAAGCTTTGACCTTCACTTAGGCTGGCTGCATTGTCTTCTGTTCCATTTAGCAGTACTCTTAAAGAGCAAAGAGGCAGACAGTATTTCTATAGATCCAATTATACTCTCGACTAGAAACAAACCAAGGAAGGCAATCTGTAAGTATCAGTCTTCCCGTCATATTCACACAGGGTTCCTATAAAAATAATTCTATTTACTTCAAAGATTGTGTTCTGGCTTTCCTATCTCATTTGCACTTGTTTCTTTGCCTCCTTCTCATCTTTTTTTTCTAATAGCCAGCAGACATGGATGAATCATATATTATTTGTAATAACAACTCACTAACAACCCTACCCCAAAGAAACAAAACTCAAGTCCTCTCTACTTTGCCGCTTCAGGAGGTCTGAAGATTTTGATAATAAATCATATTTACCCTGGTCCCTCAATTCCAATGGCAGAGCAATGAGAGAATATGGTAGGTTGCCGCAGTGCTGCCGGGGTTCAACAGTGCAACAGTAGGGAACGGGATGCACTGAGACTGAGATACTCTGCCAGGACATGGTGTGTGTGGGAAGGGAAAAGCTGGTTTCTCGCCCACCTATGCGTCACGATGCCTACTTCTAGCCAGTTCCGTCTGCCTTCCTATTTGTTCAGTCAAATAATATTCATTATTAAAAATATGACTTTTCCTATATATGCGTATCTATTAACAGCACACATCTGTCTATATGTAAGAAGACACACGCTGCCTCATCTCAATTTTCCTACCTTTCGTGCCCTTCCATTCTCTCTCAATATTCCACCCAGATACGCTTGGAAATTGTCAAACGGCAAGTAACACAACTGAACCTAGACGGAGACTAATGTTTTAACTGCAGACAACAATATTTGGGGAAATGGGGAAGAAAAAGAAAGGACAAGCACCAAGAGGTCTTATCTCTGTATGTATGCCTTGTGCTGTGCAAGGCATCAGCAGAATCCATTTTATCCCCCTTGGTGGGAGATAACCAGAACAAACACGTTCTACATGCTGGTCCGTGTAGCGGTTAGTCCTGAGAAAGAGTATGTTTATAACTACTGAAATTCTACTTTTCACACAATACTAAATTAAACATATGTTTTTCCCTCCAGCGCACATGCAGGAGGTAGGAAGGCAAATTTCCTGAACTTTACATGTCAGCCCCTTGAAATAAGTCCTTCATTGACCACTGCCAGTGAAGAGACTACTTGAAAAATGTCTCGTCAAGGAAATGTTCGCTTAAAGGCCATTATGCTGTTATGAATCAAAATTCCAGATGCTAAACCAACGCCAATTAGCAGTATTAAAAAAACAGATGCCTTGTTCTGAGTGAGTACCACTGCCTGGCGTTTGAAAGGAAAAAAAACCCACACAGAACATGCTGGAAGCCACTGTCCTATTGAGAAGACAGCTTTTAAATAGCTCTTCTGAGAGGCAAACTTAAAAAGCTGTAAAAGCAACTTATTATGAAAGTCTCAGCATAATTTTCCATCAGTATGGAAGAAGGTTAAGCTGTCCCCTGCCTTAAGCTGCTTTCTGTTAGAAATCCAAGCAGTGAGTAGAAGAGGTATGGCACAGAGTCAGGTCCACGGAAAGAATAACTGAGACAGCACTACACTGCAGCTGCCTAGAGCCCTCCAAGCTATACTGTAGGTGTCAATGTTTGGAAAAACAAAAATGCAAGTTCTCTTATTATTAATCTCCTTTATATGTACAATAAAGCCCTGTCAAATAACGATGACCTCACGCACACACAAACTTAAAGCCATTATAGGCACCCCTTACATCCTTCATTTGAAGCTCTTCTCAGCCCACTGATCTGAGACTTCCAAGTCATCTTACCTACTTCTGAGAGCTGGGAAATTCTTAATATAAATCAAAGGAAGAAACATGATTCCTCCCCATCTTATCATCCACCTATTAGATGTGTGCCAATCCGCAAAGTTAACAGGGTATTTTATTTCAGTAGTTTTGGCTTGAGTTCATCTGTATTCTTAAGCAATCTGACTTCTAATTGCAGCTTGCTCTTTTAAACAGATCAGAAGTTGGCATATTTTAAAACAGGGTGATCTCAGCCCCCACCTGTACCGCAACCTGCTAAGGAGTAACAGCATACAAATGGGTTATTCAGAGCAAAACCTACAAAGCCAGAAGCCTTGTCCCTATGAGAAAGACAGGAGGGTGCATTATGCTCCTGGGTATACAGGTGGCCAGGCAGACAAAGAAGCATAATACCAGCTACACGTGGCACAAATAGCTTCTATTTTTTTTTCTTGCTGGTTTATGCCCAAGAAAGGCAGCCACGTACTGCTTCTTGAGCCTATTTGCCAGAGTCCTAAAAGCCCAATACACTGCCGGGGAAATGACAAACATTCTGCAAGGTTCTTGTTTTGAAAGGGAGCAAGAGCTAAGAAGCATTAGAGAACTATTAGAAGAATTAGAGAAACATTAAAACATTACTTGAAAGATAGGATCAACATTTTAAAAAATGTACAAAAATGAGGAACAAAGAAAAAAGGAGGCATATAAAATAAATAACACTGATAGTAATCAAATACTTCTGATATGTAGCTTGCAGTTTTTAGACAAAGACTAACAAGGCATGTATACATCTAAAGGCTAGGGCAATTATAGATGAAGACAACGACGACAGAGAATTTCTTACAAATGAAGATGAGAACAGCTAGGACTTTTGAAGGCTCTCAGAGTTCAGAAATCCTCCTCGAACTGTGTAGACCATGGGCTCAGCATAAAAAATCTCAGAACTTGACATAACAGGATATTCTTGTGACAACTTCACATGCAACTAGACCAAGACCCTTTTTTCCCCAAGTACCACCCAGAAAACAGGTCACTGAAGTGACAGAGGATAGTTCATAGAATCACAGAACAGCTGAGGTGGGAGGGCACCTCTGGAGATTGTCTGGTCCAACCCCCCCACTCAAAGCAGGGTAAACTAGAGCAAATTGCTTAGGACTGTGTGGCCGGTCTGCTTTTGAATATATCTCCAAGAATGGAGACTCCACAACCTCTCCAGGCAACCTCTTCAAGTGTTTGATCACCCTCACAGTGAAAAAAGGTTTTTCTTATGTTTAAATGGAATTTCTTATACTTCAAATTGTGCTCACTGCCTTTTGTCCACAGAGCCTGGCTCTGTCGCCTTTCTTCCCTTCCATCAGGTATATATACACATTGCGAAGAATCCCCTCTGAGCTTTCTCTTCTCAAGGCTAAGCAATATGTTCTGCTTTAACTGCTACTTCAGATATTTTTTGAACTAGAGGAAAATGTGATTCATGGTCTTTCAACAGACATTAGAAGTTCAAGTTTTGTTCTGACAAGAAAGCCTTTACAAAAGAAATATTCTTCACAATGAGGATAGTCAAACATCAGAACAGATTGTCCAGCAAGGTCATGCAGTCTGCATCCTTGGAGGTTTTCAGTACCTGACTGGAGAACACCCTGAGCAACCTGATATAAGTTGGTCCAGATTTGAAGAGGGGGATAGATCAGAGACTTCCGGAGATCCCTTCCAATCTATCTTATTCTACGACTCTGAAAAGGGACCAAGTATGGATACCCAGTATATTCACTGCCTCCTTGGTCCCTTTTTCAATTCCAATAAATTACGAGTTTTCAGGTTGCTTTAAACACCATCTATCCTATAGACTCTGACCAACCTTAATCCTTTTATAATTTAAGTAGCTCTCATTAAATCCTTGGCTGTTTTTTTATTTTATTTTTAAAATGTCATAATGTAGGATTTAATCAAAACCCAAGTTTCACACACATTTGGATCTAAAGTGAGCTAGCAAGTGTGCTTAAAAGGGATGAGTGCTATCTAAAGCAAAGTAAGAACATATACACCACGGTACAGAAATGGTACTCATGTCCATAGAAAATATACAAAAAACCCCAACGTTCATTAGATAATTCTTCTCCTGCTTTTTGTCAGGTTTTAAAGGAGGCCGATTACTTCCCAAAAATAAAGAGGGGTATGAAAATACTTGCAATATTCGAGTTACATATTTTAAAACACCAACAAATACTGTTAAAAAAATTACCGAGCACCTCATTTTAACTTGAAGCATTTGCCCTCAGTCTAATAATAGAAAAGCCTTTGTGCTATTGGATACACTGACCAAAGACTGACACAAGCAAGAAAATCTGGAGTCTAGCTGAAAAAGTCTCATGCAGACTCACAGCCAACCGAACTCACGACAAAAACTGAAGACCTAAAGAGCAATTAACACACCTGCAGAAACTTCATCAGCTTCCAAGTAAACTATAAAGACATTTCAATTTTTTTATGTACTTCACTGGCATGAGGGAAAAATAACATGCTATCACCAACCTAAAGGAACTTTTTTCCTAGTCAAAATTGAATATGTAATGCAATCCCTGGCAGCAACTTCAAAAGTATTTATATAGGTCGCTGCCCACATTAACACTGATTTTTCATTATTTGCAACTTTAGATGAAGCCAATGAAAATAAGCAAGTTACAGATCTACCAGAAATCTCATTGATAATGCATGACAGTTGATAGAAATCCCTCTTAGTCAACTGGAAATATTAACTAAATAGTCTTTTTTTTTTTTTTCTCCAGAGCTTAGTTATACACTCTGATATTTTAATCTCCTCCTCCTATTCAATGAGAAAAATTCCTCCTTTGCAGGAAAGGCACACTTACTGGCACTTTGAAAGGAGAAGTATTCGAAGCATCCATGGAGTTGGTTTTCTCAGAGGTGCTGGTCCCGGAGATACTCCGTCTGCGAGGAGATCTCTCTGCTGGGACCTCTAAAGAAGAGAAGAAAAAGAAGGTGAATGGGTGCCGGGGGGTGGGGAATAGTCAGGTTTTATGCTCTATAGGACAGACGTCTCAGTAAAGTTTCAAGTGCATTACTAAACTGCTGAATTACATTCACCTGTTCTTCTGTATCTTATTTACTTACTAAATTACAACGGCATTTCCACTGACAGACTCAATGTTATGAATCTGACTTGATTGTAGGCAATAGGCAATTAAAATCAAAAATGCTGGTAAAGATCAATAGCCAAACATAGTATTCTATTACTGTTCGTGAAACAGTATTCAGAGAATTTTAATTTTTTAATTTATTTTTTTTTTAACATAAGCAATGCAGTAATTAACAGATAACTAAAATCCAGACACAGGGAAGCTCAATTTTAGTCACAGCTGAACACAATTTGACAAAGGTCAAAGTTCGGTCTTATATGATCACACTACTTGCTCAAACCATGCAACCAGCAGAAGACTTATAACTGCCCGGGTAATAAGACATATATATCTCTGCAGATAAAAAAAATAGGTCAACTTCTCCTCATTCTGGCAACATGACCTTACTAAGATACGACTTTGGCATCTTAAATCCATGCAGGCTGATCTGACGAGCACAAATGTTCATAAAAGACTCATTTATATCTTTTTCTAGTATAAATACTAGAGTAATAGCATAATAAAGTATACACACTATTAAAAATCTCTACACAAACACACATATACTGTACATATATGCATTTTTCTATATAGCTAGATACACACACACATATATATACACACACACATACAGATACCTTTATCACAACTGCTGCCCATCTCCAGCTCAATTGCCAGACTTAAAGGAATCCAGCTTCACAAAACATCCCCCAGCTCGGGGAGGGAAAAAATCACTTCCTAGCAGAAAGTCCATTGTTATCTTCTGAATCTTAAAGAAAAGGAGTAAGCCACGACTCCAGACAGTGACATTTTGACTCCTGCCGTTTTCCTTTCAAGAGACAGATGCAGCTTAAACTTCCATTTCTGTCCGCCTGGCCCTGGGGATCCGTGCTACTTCCACTTAAGAGAAAGCTGGGTCTCTCCGTTCCCCCTCCCTTCCCACGGCTTGCAGAGAGCAAGCGAGCAAGCGAGCAAGTGAAAAAGAAACACACAGGACTGCAGCTATTCAATCAATCGCTCCGACTGCACATCCTCATTAGTTACTTTCAGGCTATTAACAGACGCCCAACTGCCGGCTTCCCTCCGCTACAGAAAATTTCACTGTATATCCTGATTCACGGCAGCAAAAAAAGGTTTACAGAGATAGACAGCCAGCTGGTACCACGAGAGCAGTGTTTTCCTCAACATAACCGAAGAAAAATGAGGAAAAGCCTTCTTCGGGGATAACATTACTTGTGATGTCTTTGCATACCGGATTTTGATCTCACCAGTTATAATACGTATCTCCCACGGATGCTTGAAGAACGACAAAATGGAGCATACGGAACGAGAGGCTAAGAAATCTAGACCCTGCAGTATTAGTGTCTCGCACTGTAGATATTTATCTTTTAAAAAACCAAACCGCTAACATTCAGCCTTTTGATCTGCTTGTAACCATCGACGGGGAAAGAACTGCTAAGAGGGAGAACAGCCTCCTAAACTGGGCAAACAAAGTCTAACACACAATGTAGCTACCACTGGAAAATGGGCAGGGCACAGCTGCTCGCTGCTGACCACCAGGACGATGCACAAGCCCTGCTCGCACCGACCAAGTAAATCACGGTCTGTCAAAGCTCGCAGTAACTGCGATAGAGCAATACCACTTTCAGGGAGATTTCTCCTTTGGCTGATGAGCAGCATCGGGCACTGTCTCTTACAGCTAAGGAGGCATCGCCTGTTCCACTGCTGGAGGGTAACTCCCTGTCAGGGCACCTTTAGAGAACAAAGCGCTTGGAGCAGGGCCAGGGCTAGACCAAGGTTTTTGAATACTGGTCAATGCCACCATCTGAGGAGCCTTGGCAGAGGTTGCTAGTTTTATCTGAAGATGCGCTCTTTTATGCCGCCAGTCTCCTCCCCCTGCCTCTAAGAAGGGAAACTTATTTTCTGCAGCACCTCTAAGTACTGCTCTCCCAAAGAGAGCTGTATTACGTAGGATTTAAATGACCGCTTCTGCTGAAATGCTGAATGAAAGCAAATGGGAGTGATATACTCACTTGGAACTGGAGACTAAAGCGAGCACCTTTTATTTTACATCGAATAGTAATGCGTAATGTAATAGGTTTGGCTTTCGCCACTTCTCGCACACAGGAAATCACATCAAAGCTGCTTCAGTAATTTAACACAGTCGGTTAACTTTGCTGAGTCATAAATGAAAACAGGAGCCTGAATTCCCCGCTATTTTCAACACTAGGTTCTGCAGGAGGGGCGGTTTAGGAAAAAGTTTATGTTTAAACCAAATGGAGTTGAAAAGGTACAACAAGGAACACGCCTGGCTCTCCTTGCCTTCCCTCTTCCCCACACATCCACCCAGCAGCAATTCAAGTTCTCTGCAAATAAAACACTGAGACGCCATCAGTAAAATGAGTTTCTACCATTCTCAGACCATCAGAGAAGTGTACCAAATGGGGAAGGGATTCACAAGGTGCCTGAAATGAACTAAAAATAAAACTACCTTTCCCTCTCTTCTCCTTCCAAAAAACAAGAGCAAACAAACAACATGGCCAGTTCCCAGGAAAAAGAAGACCTAGATATAGCAAAATTGTCGAGATATGTTAAGTGGAAATGAAAAGCTAAAGCAACCTGCTATGATGCCCATAGAACAGTATTTTTGCTGAGTCGTGTAAAAAAAATCTATACTGTCACCACCAGGCAAAAAATTAGACAGTTCCCTCCCCTGCTCCACAAGTAATGCTAGAGGCTACTCCTGCATAATCTTCACCTGCTGTAAAAATCAATGCACCTCTCATCGGCTTAGTATTAAATTACAACTGCTTTCTGCATTGCTCACTCTCAGGGACCAAGACTACAGATAAATCACATTGTTTCTGTGGATAAACAATCTGAAACCCTTTTCATCCACTTTCAATTTCTGGGAAGAAAAGGGAAAGAAAAAAAAAAAGGTAGACAGATTTTTCCCCTTTTCAACCTTAAAAAAAAGAAATCCATCAAGCAAATGAGTTGTAAACATCCCTGTGGGACACTTTTAATTTATCACCTCATAGATTGGTGATATGCAGTAATATTTATGCAAATAAATATTTCCACAAATAAATATTTCCACAAATAAATATTTACACACTACATAGAAATAGTCAGTTACCAATTAGCTGAGCCAATTACTCAGCCATGGCAGATGCCTCTAAAGAGGGAACTGCCCAAGGATACAATGAAGGTAGGGCTCTTTTCACATCATCATATTGCACCACTCTGCCCTCTGCAACACCAAAGCTTGTTTTGTTGGCCAGAAGGCAGGTTTGTGTAAGACAGGTGCCACTTACTACTATGAGTAGTGGTGATGATTGACCTCCTTTGAAGGCAGCGGTCTTGGCCACAGCGAGGTAGCCTCAATGACCTCCAGTTAGGATGCGGGACTTGATCTGAATTTCCTATTGCTAGGTGCTCTGGCCACTGAAATCCGAAACCTCGCTGTTGTGGGAATTTGTATTCTGCTGTGAAGAGCTTTTTCTCAGAGTGGGAGAAGTAGAGATGAAACAAACCTCCCAGCTTTGCAGGACGGTGCTTGCTACTCTATCTCCACTGTTCTGAATTTGAAATGGATTGGAGAAGGGCAGGAAAAACAATCAGCAACAAAGAAAAATCCTCAGGGGTTACAGTGAAAAGAATTAAGTTACTGAACTTGCAAATAAGGCCACAGAAACAAAGATTACAGGGGTGCCCATGATTTTGCAAAGAGCAGCGCAATGAAACTACTGCACGGTCTCAGTGGAACTTGTGTCAAGACTGTGGCACCTTCCAGGCTGGGCTTGTGTCCTCCCAGGGCTGGCAAGAACATCTCCAGATCTCAGTTCCTGCTTATGAAGTCCCGGAGATGACTCTAAAGCAGTCCCAAAGACCTACCTGGAGATGCAAAAAGGGGTAAGCACACTGGCAAGTGTAACTCTCGTCTGTCATTACTCATAAGGGGCTGGTACTGGTCTCTGTCACAGTGAACAACAGATCAGACCATCTGCTCCAGGCTGGCAGGTCCTACATGTCTATAATAAAGTTCTCAGCCTGGTCACATTCTGCACACCAGCCTTTTTATCAATTGTGACTTTTAGCAGTTCATAATAATCAATCAATCAAAAGTCACAATCAATAATCAAAGTCACAATTTTATCAGTTTGTGACTACTAGCAGTTTCTAATAACACATGGCTCAGCACGGGCCAATTATCTGCTACAACATCCTTCACTCTGATATGCAAGAAAAATTTGGATTTGTGAAAGGCTACATTTACCATCCACTGGAAAAAAAAAATCGTATTACTCACAAAAAATTAATTAATATTTCTTTCCCAAGACATAGATTCTGTCGAGGGAAAAAAAAAAAAATCCATCCTCAAATTCATTCTCCAAATATCTTTATTTGATATCTTTGTGTTGTCTTTACTAGGCAGGGGGCAGACTGTTGGTGTATGTTATCTACTGGTTAGGAAAATAAAAGAAAGATACAATAAGATTTCAGGGATTGGGACTTCCTTTTGTTTTGTCTGCACGCATCCTGATCTGATGGTACCTTGGTCTGAGACTAGAGGGGATAGAGAATATGTTTCATAAAAAGAATCAATTCATTCTGCCTCTCAAGTCTTGCTTAATTACAGGCATTTGAAAAATACGAACCCAGTTCAATACGACCAATTACCTATCCAGAACCAAGTGTTCCCAAAGACTGCCTCTCCAGTGCACTTGTATTAAAATGTCCCCAGCTGAAAGAAAACAAAACCCCACCCAAATATTTTCACCCCCTCCATATAGCTACCTTGGCACTCCCCGTGAGAAAACGGCAATTGCTGCTGGTC